TATATATATATATTATTTTCGTAATACAATATATAAAATATATAACTTTATCTAAGTTTATCCAAAAAATATTTAAATTTTTAACAGACTAATTATTAATTTAATTATGAAACTATAATATTAAAACAGTAACCTGAGTTTCAGAATTAGTTTATTTTCTTAATTTAAAAATATTTCTTAATAAAAGTATTAATCCATAAAAATCACAAATAAATTATTTATTGAATAAATCTATTTAATATCTTTTATTTTAAATAAATTTTTTTACAATTCAGTAAAAAAAATTATTTAAAATAAAAGATACTTTGGGGACTAATCAGTTCTTACTACCAGTACGAACTGATTAGTCCAAAATAACACTTTGTCATATTTAACACTTTTATTTCATAAATTGTCATTCAATAGGCATATACAGTCAACTCAAGTTAATACAAATTGCTAGGGGAACAGTTATTAGTTGAAATTTTTTATGATTTTTGGGGTCAAGGTCAAGGTTTTATAATTTATGGAGTTAAGGCTTAATAGACAATCAAAATCTCTAATATATAATCTATAAAATTTTGAGTTAATTTATTAAATATGGTTAAATAAAATGAAATTTATTACAAAAACAAATTAATGTTCTAAATGATTTTGAAATCAAACAAAAAGAGGAAGAAGCAATATTTGCCATTTACATATGAAACAGTATATTAGAGTGGTAAAACAAAACAAAGGTAAAAGAAATCCATGATTTTTTTTCTGTTAAAGATTGAAAAAGTAGAAAATATTTTTTTTCAATCACGAATGTCATCTTTAGATATTCATTTATGTCACTTTCTAATTGCAGATAGCAGTGTATAGTGTCTACAATATCAGTCACATTCTTGAAAGAATGCTTAAACAGCTAAACATCACTGTCAATCTCGGTTTCATTTATGGAGTAAAAAGGGAGGCAAATGTGGTGCAAAGTAGCCAAACCTGACATCACTACATGAACTCTCCAATATGCAAACTAGCATGTATTTGCATGGGACCACTACATCCATTTAAAGTGGTGTTCTTCCTTAAACTTTAATCCCTACTTTCTGAATACAGTAGAATGATATTGTGAGATTAGCCGAGGGTACTTGCCAAGGGTATCACTTAATCGGCACAAATCACAAGATTCGATCTCTAACTTTTTCTAGGAGAGTGTATTTTAGTTTAAAGGGTCTAGAGCAGGGGTCGGCAACCTGCGGCTCGCGAGCCACATGCGGCTCTTTGGATGTGAAGCTGCGGCTCTTTAGTTCCATATGCAAATATTATTTAAAAAATTAAAAATCGTTCTGAATCAATTAACGAGGATTAGGCACTGATTCTATCTCTCAGCCACTTGTACTCGTTTTTCACCGCACCCCTCCCCCGTGACGCGTCGTCACTGTCGCCAGTCCGTCGGAAGCTCTCGAATGACGCCCTCGTCGGATGTTTCTATTATCTAATTTGTTGTGAAAAACACTACTTATATATGAATAAATAGATATTTTTTCTTATGAATAAATAGATTAGTTTTTTTTATCAAAAATCTTTATTTATGCGAGTACTATTGTTGGCAAGAAAAAATTTTGTGGCTCTTTAAAAACTTTGAAATTTTGTAAATTGTAATTTTGGCTCTTCCGACTCAAAAGGTTGCCGACCCCTGGTCTAGAGGATTAGTTCTAGATCTAGTCAGGATTCTTTGACACCAGTTAATCAATTTTGTGATATGCAGATTAACACGCATATTGATTCTGGGAGGAGATGATGAAATATGTTCGATTCAGACAAGGATGAAGAGACATTTCTTTAACTAATAACAACAAAAATTTAATGAGATAAAATAAACAAAATTACAAAATTATATAAATGGAGTATGCAAATTAAGCGATTTCGAGAAAGAGTGCTCACAATTTCTACTATAATCATACTACCTCTGGATACTTTTTGTCTTCTTCTGTCCCTTGGGTTTTAGACTTCAGTCCTTTCTTGTGTAGGTCTTAAACTGGCACATATTTAAATATTTTTTTCCTAATTTACTGACTTAACGAACATGGGAATCTAATAAGGGCGTTGGCCTTCAGGAGATGATATGGAATACGTCTTCTCACTTTCAGAACTTTTGGCGCACTCCTCGAATCATACAAAACTCTTTCTCTTTCTCATGAGTTTTCTCCAATCAGCTTTTCGGATTCTCTCACATGAAGAGAGGAAAAGGGGATTTATCGAGGGGTTAACAATTCCCAGGGTGACTAAGATTTTAGCAGATAAGGGGAAAACAAAAGGATGTTTCAACTCCCATTGCAGGAAGCAACTTTTATCAGTTTCCCTCATTTAGAAAAACCTAATTTTCCCACTAAAATCAACGAATATCTTTCGACAAAAATTTTAACTTTTTAATCAAATTATTAATTAATCCCAGGGGTAATTCAGATCTCACAATATACTAAAACAAGATGTTTGAATTGCTCTACGATCAGAGGTTGAACCTGCATTTACTTACTAAGAGTAGAATATCTATTCTATTCAAATTGGAACATTAATTACTGTACCACTTGTTAATGTTAACATCAGAAAGTCTAAAAAGCAACCATTATTGAAATAAGATTATTTCTTGGGAGGTTGTGAAAGTAATTTATAGTTCAGTTTAATGAATTTGGTAAAATTTTTGTTTGCTTTATTGCATGAAAATTAATATTGTGACAATGATGTTTTGGCAAGGCAATGGCAAAATTCACTTTATCAATGTTTGTTGTAAGGTGAATCAACCATAATCAATTCTTATAGGAAATTAAAGTAAATTAAGTATCACAAAACAGCTCCAAAATTGATTATTTAAATAAATTTTATTAATTATTGAAATAAAAGCATAAAAAAGCTATTATTTACCAATAGCCCGAGAAAGATTTAATCCTCCATTTACTCGGCCATCTATAGTGACATGACCACCAGCATTTTCTATTCTCTTTCTTTCTAGTTCATCTTCAGGTTTATGATCTGAAGACATCTCTATAGCTTCTCCAAGACGACTTACAACACATCTGGAATCTCCTGCATTAGCTACATAAAGTTGTGATCCATGGATGACAGCAACAACTGCTGTACAGCCACTATCACTTCCAGGCTATATAGAAAAAAAATTTTTTTATTCAAATTACAATAATTACAAAAAAACGTTACTTCAGCACTTAATTTTATTAGTCTTAAATAAAATACTTTAAAAATGTAAGAATTACAAAGTTGGAATACTATATTTGACAACTTTTTCTTCCTATTAATAAAATTTTTGAAACTGGTACATTTAAATAATTTTCTTCTTGCAAATAATACTTTATTATAAAAATGTGTTAATATCAATACATTTGGAAACTAAACTTTAGAAGCTGAAAACTTTACACATATGAAAATTACTATAGAAAAATACAGTCGACCCCCCTATAACATGGTAGATACGTTCCAGTTTTTATGAATCCATTTTCTACGAGTCCAGCCAATCACTGCCCGGCATGTATGCAGTTTACGGACTACGGCTGTTTGAAAGGTTTCTTCCATAAAATTAATTGATTCTAGGCTAATTTGACTCAACATTTCCAAAATACGTATAATTTTTTGGGAATAATCCATATAAACTATGCTATAAACAAAAAATTGTAGGATTACTTATCGAGTGTGCACCGTTCGGCCATGCCATTGCTTAAGCTTGTTTTCATTGTGGAGCTTGTCATTGAATGGCGCTCGTGTGCTTCCTAATAAATTATTATTATTATTTTTTTTGCAAAAAATTTGCTGAACTTTGGAGACATCATTAATATAAATACAATTTTTATGGATGTTAAATAATAAATGGTTTTTAGTAGGTCCGCTGCTCGTTTAAACTCAATGGTTTGTGCAATATCCACTATTGGTCTAGATTCAACAAATCCTGTCGTGACATGAGTTGGCGATGACGTTTTACCAAATTATAGGAGTATTTTTTTAGTATGTTTGTACGAATACTGTTGCGATTTTTTCACCGTGATATAGGAATCCAAACTATAGGAACCCATGTTATGGGGGGGTCAACTGTAAATTACCTGTTTAGTATTCCAATTCAATCCTGAACAGTATATTTTCATTACATTTCTTAGAATATTTGACTTATTTCCTAAGAAATATTGTTTAAGAATGTAATTTGTGTTGTGCAACTTGTTTATAGAGAATTTTTTTTCTCTCAACTGAAAGATTTTGATTTCAAATCTTCCATTTGTTTAGATAATTCTAGAATTCAAATTTCCATAGATTTCTGAAGACATTCTAAACCTATTTAAATTGTCAGTTTTATGGCATTTGAAACTTTGTTATTGTTTTCTATTTAAAAATGATTTATATAAACAAATGAGATGAAATGTTCTTTACAATTTAAGGAAAATGCTAAATTTACATTTAAAAATTATAATCTAAAAAATGAGAATTGTTTTCTTATGCTTTATTTAAAATAAAACTTTTGATGTATACTATATATTTATAGTATATAATAAATTTTTAAAACACTAATGTTATACAAACATCATACTGCATAGTATCAAAATTGCCACATGGCAATATTTTTGTTAAAGTGATGATGAAAATATAATACTGGCAATAAAAACATAGTCCACTTATTTCAACATTCAGGGTGAAATTGAATTATAAAGCACACTCAGGGTAAAAAGCAGAATGTCAAACTCTCTATCCCATGCATCACACCTAGGATTTGTTCTTTTATTCCTCTGCATACACTCCCATATATGCAAAATCCATTGAAAAATTCCTGCAAAACATGTTCCTACATTCTGGCTGGAGTGTGAGTTGTCAAATGGCAAAAACAGCTGCTTTTAGTAGTAATTTATGGTGGAAAGTAAAATGGCATCCACCATGGCTCAGATAGTTTTGTTTCACTGTCCATTATGCAGTTTTCTGAATGAAAATTTAGTTATGAAAGTGCATGTTAAAACACATGATGATATAGATGTCATCTCAATATTTTTCAAATGGTAGCCAGCATTCTAATCTTTTCATGGTTACTTTAAATGTTCTGTTAGCAAGACAACTCATTTGATGGGAAAATTTTACAACTGAAACACTTCTTTTAACTTTGTCTTCAAAAATACATATTTTAAAATTATGGATCTTATCTTCATGATACTATTGATAAGTATGGGCACTGCAATCCTTTCACAGTCATTCCAAAATGCCTACAAAGAGCAGTACATGCTCAATGTTGAGATGTACTGGGACAACTATTAACAAACATACCCCTACCAATGTCATGACATCATGCAGCAAATTCAGGCAGAAAAGAGGAAGTGACATTGAAAACCAACTATCAACTGATAGAAAATTTGAAGAATTTTCTGGGGTGGGTGACATTTTTCACTTTGATCTTTTTTCAATAGACTGAAGCATAAAAATTTCGACATGACAGAACATGTAAAATACTGTTTAAGCACTGTGATCAAATGTGTTATTTGGTTAACATGTTGCTTTTGCTTTCCAGACTCCAAACTGATAAGGCTACCAGCACCTGCATTAATTAGTAAGTAAAACTAGTGGTGATAAATAATTTGAAATGGCAAAAAAAAAACTTAAAATTGGCAATATGGTTGGCATTTTTTTAGAATTTTCCAGTGATTCCTGATTTTATACTTAAACTTCTATCATAATTTTAGAATCATAATACAGTAGAACCTCGAAAACTCGTCCCTCGATAACTTAGCACTCCGGATAACTGGTCCACACCTTGGCAGGGCGAAAAAATCCTTAGTTAATTAATTTTCATTATAGACAGCTTTATAAAAGTATAAAAGCTCTCAAAGTATTTTTCTGAGGTCTGTCTTATCAGGTAAATTACTGTACACAGTGTATTCATTAATTTTCATTTTCATGTAGTGTAGGCTCTAT